TTTCCTTATCTCACAATGGTAATGCATAACTGTACTTTCTCACAGAATGATAATGAAGAATTAAGTGAAATTAGATTGGGCCTATAAAAAGAGATACTGTTACTGTTAATAGTTGTCATCATTGTTGGGACTTTACCATGGGAGTCTTTTTGTCCCTTGTGTGTTTATCTTCTAATTCACAATATGCCAGCTTGCAGAATAATGTTCTTTAAACATTGCTAGGGACTTCTGGTCAAGATGGCGGCACGGGTAAACATGGCTCGCCTCCTTACACAACCACATAAAATTACAACTAAATTATAGAACAACCATCACTCAGAAATGTCAGAAATCGAGTTGAATGGAAGTCTGACAATTACAAAACTAAAAAAATCAGATCCATCAAGAATGGTAGGGGGGTAGAGATACAGAATGGGTCTGTGGAGATCTCACCTAACTTATAGACCCAACCCAAGCTGTTAACAGAGAGTTTTCCATATGAATGGCTGGTCTTGGCTCATGCTTCACAACTTCTAAATCCTCTCAAACAAGCAACAGCCAGCCTTAGTGAGCCCCCATACCTCTTGCTAAGTGGCCCCAGGCCCAGCACTAGCAGCAGACAGACTAAATTCACAGCTTGGCTTCCCTTGTGAATCTCCAAGCCCAGCACAAATAGCAGCCATCTCAGATTGCTTTATAGCTCAGGCAGGGTGGCCCCAGGGCAAAACACAGGCTGGGGCTGACCTTGGCCTGCACCACCCAGGAAACCCCAGAGCCTGCGCACCCAGTGGACAGCTACAGATCATGTCAGAGCACCACCGCCCTACCCCTGCACAGCTGATCCTCCACAGAAGGTGGAGGTTGGTGGTCAGTGGTCACAGTCAATCCTTGCAGCTGACTGGCCTGGGTAAATCCCTCCAATTGATCTGCCAACAACCAAGGCTCAACTACAAGAGGAGGGTATACTCAGCCCTCACAGATGGCACAGCTCAAGCACCCAGCTTGGGTGATAGGGGAGGATGTGCCACTGGACCCTGCAGGACACCTACTACACTAGGCCACACTACCAAGATAGGGAGTCACAGCAGCTCTACCTAATACACAGAAACAAACACAGGGAGGCTGCCAAAGTGAGGAAACAAAAAACATGGCCCAGATGAAAGAACAGATCAACACTGTAGAAAAAGAATTAAACAAAAGGAATATAAGTAATCTATTGCATGCAGGGTTCAAAGTATTGGTTATAAGGATGCTCAAGGAACTTAGTGAGGACCTCAACAACATAAAAAAATATCCAGTCAGATATATAGATGGCCAATAGATATATGAAAAGATGCTCAATATCACTAACCACCAGAGAAATGCAAATAAAAACCACACTGAGCTACCACCTCATACCTGTCAGAATGGCCATCATCAATAAATAAAAAAAAACAAGTGCTGGTGAGGATGTGGAAGAAGGGGAACCCTTCTGTGTTGTTGGTGGGAATGCAGACTGGTGCAGCCACTGTGGAAAGCAATATGGAGATACCTCAAAAAAAACTAAAATTGGATCTGCCTTTTGACCCAGCAATCCGATTTCTGGGAATATATACAAAGGAACCAAAAACACTAATTCGAAAGAACATAAGCACCTCTATGCTCATTAGTAGCATTATTTACAATCACCAAGATATGGAAACAGCCCAAGTGTCCATCAATAGATGAGTGGATAAAACAACTGTGGGACATTTACACAATGGAATACTACTTGGCCATAAAAAAAGAAGAAAATTTTACCCCTTACAACAGCATGGATGGGCCTGGGGAACATTATGCCAAGTGAAATAAGCCAGTCAGAGAAATACAAATAAATACAAATACCACATGATTTCACTCCTATGTGGAATCTAATGAACAAACTGAAATAACAAGTAAAACAGAGATAGACTCACAGATGGAGAACAGATGACAGCTACTTGCTGGGGGGAGGTTAGGTGGGAGAGGGACGGAGTAAAAAGGAAAAGGACTCATGGACATGGACACCAGTGTGGTGACTGCCGTGGGGAGAGGGGTATAAGGTACTAAATGTAAGATATATAATAAAGATTATATGTTTAATATATAATCAAACAAACAACCAATTGTAAAAAGAAGATCCAGTTAGAAACAAACAATTCACTCATTGAAATAAAGACCAATTGACATGGAAACAACAGTAGAGTGGATGAAGTTGACAATCAGATAACTGATTTGGAACATAAGGAAGCAAAAAATAAGCAATCAAGCAAGAATAAGAAGGTATCCAAAAATAAATAAATAAATAAATAAATAAATAAATAAATAAGGATAGTATAAGCAGCCTCTGGCACAACTTTAAGAAGTCCAACATGCACCTCACTGGAGTGCCAGAAAGAGAAGAGAAAGAGACTGCAATCGAAATCTATTTGAAAAAATAGTGAAGAAAAAGTTCCCTGATTTGGTGAAGGAAATAGACATATAAGTCCAGGAAACACAGAGAGTCCCAAACAAGATAGACCCAAAGAGAACCACTCCAAGACACATCAAAATTAAAATGCCAAAGCTTAAAGATAAAGAAGGAATCTTAAAAGCAGCAAGAGAAAAGAAGTTAGCTATCTACAGGGGAGTCCCCTTAAGACTTTCAGCTGATTTTTCAAAAGAAACTAGAGTAATATTCAAATATTCAAAGTCATGTAAAGCAGGGACCTACAGCCAAGACTGCTCTACCCAGCAAAGCTATCATTTAGAATCAAAGGTCAGATAAAGAGCTTTCCAGACAAGAAAAAACTGAAGGAGCTTATCATCACCAAACCAGTATTATATGAAATGTGAAAGGGACTTATTTAAGAAAAAGAAGATTAAAACTATGAACAATAAAATGGCAAAAAATACAAATCTATCAGCAATTGAATCTAGAAAACAATCTAAGCAAACAAGAAAAACAGACAGAATCATGGAGAAGGAGAGTGTTTGGATGGTTGCCAGATGGGAGGGAGTTGTAAGAGTATGGGTGGGAAGTGAGGGGATTAAGAAATACAAAGAGATACTTACAGAATAGCCTTGAAGATGTAAAGTACAGTATAGGAAAAGGAGTAGCCAGAGAACTTACACACATGACCCATGGACATGAACCATGGTGGGGGGACTGCCTTAGGGAGTGGGGGGATGCTGCTTAGAGGAGGGAAAATCAGCACAACTGTAATAGCATAATCAGTAAAATATAATTTAAATAAAAACATTGCTTTACCTCACTGCCCTCCCCGGGCACCTGCAACTTCTCCTCCTGGCAGGCCCCCCAGCCACCAGGTGCCGCTGGCTGCCTGAAGCCTTCCTGAGCCCGTTGTTGCCCGCAGCACTGGGGCTGCACCCCATGGACAGCACTTATCACTTGTACTGTGTTTTGAGATCCCCTGTAAGCTTGATTAAACTCAACATTCCCAGTGAATGAAAGAAGGATGGAAAGAAGAACGTAAAGAAAAGGCTGAGGACCACATGCAAATTCTGTTCCAAAAGAGCCCTCGCTGGGACTGTGACTCGCTGGACAAGTCATTTGAGTTCTGTGTTTAGGGCCATATTGGAGTAGGAGCTGTTTTCACTGTGGTGTGCCCCTAGGATCAGGCCCCTGCTCGGAGCACCTTCCCGACACTGAGAACAGACAGACCCTCTGCCATCAAGCAAAGTTCCTTACTATGCCACACACGTCACTCTATTCTGTTTTTTTTTTTACCAAGTTTACCTTGTCTCCGAAACCCTACCTGCCCAAGTTCTAGGAGTGCCATCCTTAATATATTTTACCCCTAATTAAAAAAAATCTAACACATACACAACATAGTCAGTCTCTGCCCTCAGTTCTTTATATATTTTATATATTAATTTATTTTAGTGTCATAATTTATTTTATGTAAGGTAACCATTATTATTATCCCATTTTTACTGATGAGGAAACTGAGGTACAGAGAGATTAAGTGGACTTGGCCAAGGTCGTACAGCTAGTAACCTTGAACCCCACAGTCTGTTTCAGACTCTATGTACTTCACCACCACACTAAAACATCTTTCTAATCAATAGCTTTTAACTTCTATATTCTATCGCATTTATATTTTCATTAAAACTATGAATAATACTACACAAATTTATTTTTTCTTGTAGTTTGGTAGCTTATAGCATAAAGTTAATGCCTCACAACACTGATTATTAGAGCCCTGGTAAGGTGGCTCTGTTGGTGTGCTATCCTGCTCCAAAAAGGTCACAGGTTTAATTCCCAGTCAGGGCACATACCCAGGTTGTGGGTTTGATCTTTGGTTGGGGTACATAAGGGAAGCAACCAGTTAATGTTTCCCTTCCTCTTTTTTCTCTTCTCTTTCTCTTCTCTTTTCTCTTCTCTTCTCTTTCTTTCTTTCTCTTTCCCACCCACCCCACTTTCCTCTCTCTCTCTTCCCCACTTTCCCCTCTCTCTAAAGGCAATGAAAAAAATGTCCTGAAGTGAGGATAAAAAATATATACTGATTATTAGCAATTGAATCTTTATATGATTATATAAGCCCTGGGGGAGGTACCTAACCTCAGAATGTACTTTACGAACCTTTATGGCAGACCTGAGAGAAAGACAGGCTGGTTCATTTAACAGGTGAGAAAAAGTGAGATGCAAAAGAGTCAAGTAATTATTCTAAATTGTACACTAAACAGCAGTGCCTGGACCCAACCAAGACCACCTGACTCAAAGCCATGGCACTTTTCTATATTAGCAGTGGAGACACTTAGATTATGGACAGGAAATAAGGAACATAAGAAAAGCAAATGCCCTTACTAACACCTCTCCTCGCCTTTTGCATATTTCTTAATAAAAACAATGACTGTGGCCAAAAGCCCAGCTCTGAGCTGCCCTCTGATGTGTGGCGACCTAGCTCACACACATCACAGGCTCATTCTGGGGGCTTGACCTCACTCTCAAATGGATTTGAGACCAGTAATTATTTAACATTTCAAAAGGCACCGGTATCCTACACAAGCCAGCTTCTCACCTGTTTTTCGCGCCATCGTCCCAAGAACGGAGGTCGTCTTTGCTGGCCAACTGAGCTGCTGCTCTGCCTGCTTCCTCTTCGGTCTCACTCAGGCTGTCCCGCGGACGGCTTTCTCCCTCCAAGCTGTCGGTCTCCACGTTGTGGTCCTGGATTCTGTCTTCAAGTTCAGATGGGGAATTAATTTCTTGAGTGAGGCTTTCTGAATCAGCTTCCAGGGAGTCTTTCGAAATCAGATGTAAATCTTCTTTCTTAAAAGTTAACTTTGTAGACTGAACTTTTAAGTTGGTACGATAGACAGGTGATTGAACAGAGAGCTTGGGAATTAATTTACTATGACTCATCTTGAAAAAAATACAAAAATTAACAAGGGATACTTTTGTTGATAGAAGCAGTTGGCTGAATATTTAAAGTTGTGGTTCACCAAAGCATTACCTAAAAAAATTATATTTATGTTACTTTGTGGTTACTCTGAAATCTCTTTAATTGCAATGTTAATCAAAAATTTAGATGAGGACAAAACCCTCGTTATATTATCTGCAGGCTTTTGTGTGCACCCTTTCGTGTGTGAGAAGTAAGTCCACTGGCAACATTATTGTGTTTTCCTCTCTGGAGGAATGCATGTGACGAAGAGCTGCAAACCAGCCTGAGTAATCAAGAGCCGCTTCACTGAGGGAATCAAATGGCTCGCGGAAGCACATTCTTTTTCCAGCTTCCAAGGCTCTCTGACAGACAAGCCTGGACATGCCAAGTGGTAATTATGGACAGGACTTTGATGGCTTTATTTCAAATACCCAGGGCACTGATACAAATATGTCATTGTTCAGTTGTATTCATGGACACAGTAAAACAGGTTCATGGTCTGTCTTCTGGAAAGCAAAGGAGGCAGAGGGAGCAAGAGTGTGGTTTCCACAGTCAGAACTGTACAGAGGGAAGGTGTTTGGCTCCTTAGACCTGCACTGGCTGCCTTCATCATTTGGAGGTCTTTTTGGTATCCAGGCTGCTACTAGATCAGAATGTGTAATTTAGGGGGTCGTTACCAGACATCAATCTCAACACAATGTGTGTGTGTATGTGTATATATATGGCTAAAACTGTTCAACAAAAGATTTGGCCATCTTGTGAATTCTACCACTGAGCAATTCACAGCAGAGGCCTGATGCCCACCTACCTGAAAAAGATGCTGTCCCCCGGAGTGTCGGGAGATTGGCCTGAATAACGGGTGAGATCTGTTCTCACTCTCTTAAGAGTGTCCCTGAGAGCCGGCTGTGAAGGCCCAGGAGGCAGTTTATGGAAAGGGTGCTTTGAGTTCACCACAGCCTGACAGGAGATGATGGTTTTGGATTGGGCTCCCTTTCATCTCCACCCGGCACTTCTCTCTCTCACTGCCTTTATGCCATTTTTTTTCTGTAGGTCAGATTACGAAACCATCCACATCGAGATTGCTGCAAAATTTGCTTTAAAAGGTTTGCTTTTTTTTTTTTTGCTAGATCCTAATTTTAGTTAATCAACATGACCTTATTCCTATTCCTAGTATTGCTTATGTTGACTTCGTTGCTAACGTTCCCAAGAAACATCATCAATTCCTTGGAGGAAAGCACCTAGCAAACAAAACAGACAAAAGGTAACGTTCGTGTGGAAATATTATTGTCTAAGTGTACAGACTGGTTTGCTGTATCGTCTCTTGTTTTAAAAATAACGTCTATTTCACTCTACTGTATTAATTTAAATTTGGCAAGCTGATGAATTGTTATTTTTTAGGATATTTTTACAAAGCAGCAAATCAATCAAGTCACTGAAGGTTTTAAAACGTCCGTTTTACTGCAAGACTTCAAGTCGCCGTACTTGGGGGTCTTAAAGAAAAAGCTTAAAAGTCATTATATCTCAATTTGGAAAATGCTCCTTCGTGACATTAGTCTCTTCAACTTCTCTTCTTAAATGAGATAGTGTCTGTTGCAGTTTATCAATAAAAAATGTCCATAAAGGAAATAGTTTTTTGTTAATAGATTAACGAAGTTTGCGAGAGCAGGAAGAAAGCAAAGCCAAACACCACCGGCCGAGCTGGGTCTCCTGCGGAGGCCTACCCAACCTCCCATGGGCCGGGCCCTAGAGCACTTAGTTGTAGCCGGTAGCTCGGCTTACTGAGAAAGGGGGCATTTTAAAAGTAATGGAGGTGGCTCCCTAGCGGCCCAACAGTTTTCTACTTAAGTTCCTGACCAAGAGAGGCAGGCAAATCTCGTAAAGACCCACAGGGATACCGCGGGTCCAGTCCGCTAGCCCTGGGAGGAACCAATTTCCTACAGCGAGTGAAAGGGACCCCGCTTGCGCTCACCGAGATGAATGAGAGAAAAAAAGTTGCCCTGTTTTGGAACGAGCCAGAGCTGCGCATAGGCGGTTCGGATTTGTTTTCTCCCTTTGTTTTTTCTCTGATGGACAAACAATAGTGGGCAGAAGGGCGGTTTAAATTCCTGTACGCGCCAGGGTCCGGCGGGGCTGGTGCCCAAGACCGACCTTAACCGAGGGCAGAGCGTCTTGGGAGTCTGGGCACGGAAGCCGGCTCGGGTGCCGGCCCGCTGCCCCACCCACTTCCCAGGCCCCCGGGCCCCGGTTCCTGCTTCGGCCACAGCCGGCCCTTCCCGTCCTGGTGCTAAATGCTGTCCGTGTCGGCCCCTTCGAGTTCTCCCGGGTCACTGCCCCGTTTCCCCTCCGTGCCCCCGCCCCCCCGACCGGGCGCGCGCCCACCCCTTCCAGGTGCAACCGCCTTCACCTGCTCTGCCTTCACCTTCCCTGCGCTCCTCCGCCGCCGCGACCCCGCGGCCAAGTCCTCCCGGCCGCCGCCGCCCCGCCCTCGCCCCGCCGGGCACCGCCCCGTCCCTGCCCACCCACGTCGCCCAGCGTTGCCCTGGAGATCGAGGCCGGCGCCCGACGCCGGCCTCGCCGGGCAGTGAGCAGGGCCACCGCGGGGAGGCGACACCTCCAGCTCTGGCTGACCGGGTGGGAATGGCGGGGATGGGGCAGCAGGGCAGCCCCGGGACCAGCGGGGCTCTGCGTGAGGCTGCTGTCAGGCCGGCCCTACTTCCCAAAGCTGGGAAGTGAGGAAGGGCAGGCCATCACGTGGGAGGAGGTATTTGCAACAAATATCGCCAAGAATAGGTGAAGAACTTCTCCAAATCAAGGGAAAGAATCTAATGAAAAGAATGGGCAAATGGTTCGAACAGGAATTTCACAAAAGAAATCCTAATGAAGGGGATGTGGGGAGGTAGCAGAGAGGAAAGGGGGGGGCTAAGTGGTGACAGGAGACTTGATGGGCTGGTGAACACGCAGTATAGTGTACAGATGATGTAATACAGAAATGCACACTTAAAACCTATGTAATTTTATTAACCAATGTCACCCTTATTAACTCAATGAAAATTAAAATAAATAAAACAGAAAATCCAAATGGCCAGTAAATATTTATTAATTAAAATGGTGCTTAATTCATTAATCATTGGGAGAGGACAAATGACAGCCCCAGTGGATATGACACCATACTCACCAGACGGGCAGAGTGTCTGACGGCGCCAGGAGTTGGGAAGGATGGAAAGCAAGGACCCTCTCTCTGCGCATGGGAGTGTGAAGTGGAGCGACCACTCTGGAAACATGGTTTGACAGTAGCTAGGATATGTGTATCCTGCGATTCAGTAATTTCACTTTTAGGTATTTACCCTAAAAAAGTGTGAGTTCATGTGCACCCAAACTGGAAATAACAGCAGGATGGCTCATTAAACTGTGGTGTTCCATACACCGGCACAGTGCAGGACAGTGAAAACGAGTGCACTACAGCTGCATGAAACGGCACACGGGCAACTTAACAATACATCCTGAGTGAAAAACTGACCCCGTTAAGTTCCTGGATGCATCCCTAGTGGAGAAAGCTGAGTAAAAGCAAAGTAGTGATAACCCTAAAGTTAGGAGAATGGTCAGCTCTGGCAGGCAGGGTCAGGACTTTGGGGGAGAGTGCTTTTGAGATTTTACTTCCTGACTTTTAATGCTGGTTACATAGATATTTATTTTATAATAATTCACTAAACCATACATTTATGTATATGTAAAATAGTTCACATAAAAAGGCCTCAAAGAAGAGTAAAGAAGGAATGTTTTGGAAATTAAATTCACATTAAAGCCACAAGTAGATTTTTAAAATTTTTTATTATTTATGCTATGACAGTTGTTTTAGTATAAGACAACTTATCATATTAGTGTATTTTTTTGCCTTAGCCCTCCGCCCCCAGCCTGCCCCCCACTCCCACAGTCAGTCCCTACACCATTGTCCAGGTCCATGGGCCATGCATACACGTTCTTTGACTAATCCCTTCATCTTCTTTCAGTCAGTCCCCACATCCCCCTCCCCTCTTACAGCTGTCAGTCTGTTCCATGTTCCCATGTCTCTGGTTCTATTTTGGCTGTTAGTTTATTTGTTCACTCAATTCCACTTATAACTGAGATCATATGGTATTTGTCTTTCATTGACTGGCTTATTTCACTCAGCCTAATAGTATCCAGTTCTATCCATGCCATCCCGAAAGGTAGGAGTTCCTTCTTTTTTAATGCTGCATAGTATTCCAATGAAAACAAGTAAATCTGAGTAGCTGCCTTCAACAAAGCAAGAATGATTTAACACTAGTTGCCTAATAAATCATAAGGAATACAGAAAATTGGAAAGTAGCCTTACTATTCAATTTTATCAGTTTTGTTCTTTTCATTAGAAGGAATTTTTTGTTTTCGTTTTTAGTTTTTTGAGTGCAAACTAGGACCTCAATGTTTTTTGATGAAAGGAAAGCAAAGAGGTTATTCTGCCCAGTATATTACACAGATTAACATTTGAGCAAGTTCGAACATGCAAGCAGACCCTGGCATAAATAGGAGGACTTACTCCCCGTTGCAGCTTCCAGAATGTTACAGAATCAGTGCTGAGTCATTCCCACTCAGCCACCCTCTCATCTGCTGGTCGGTAGACACGGACGATGTGGTTCTTCATACTCTTCACGTGCCTCTGCACTATTCAGAAAGACTTTGGACTGCTTTTCCACGTGGTTCCTGTGTGATCCAGGAGGCAATCGATCTAGTAGCTACTTGTGGAGACTGGTCCCACACGCAAGACGGAGCACTCTGAACTGGACTCCCTCTTCCTCCCTCTTCACTGGCTATCCTGCCGTTTCTGGCTCGGAACAATCGGGGATCATAAACACAGATGGCAGTCATCGTCCAAGCAGGGGAGAGAAGTCACACCGATTATTTTAATGAAATAATTTAGTGAAGATTCACTAATGTAAAAGTTGAAAGGGAAAAGTTGAAAAGAGGGTAAAAATCATGCAATCTACTTTACAAAGGTTTTTATCCAAAATATTAAAATGTTTAAAATTTTAAGTAAGAGATAAACTCTCAATCATCAAAACAAAGTTTTTTTTAGGATGACCAGCCTTGAGAATCTTCGAGGATTGCAGTTGTAATCAATATATGTTTACACAGTCAATGTAACTCAACAGACAGAAGTACAAGTACCTCCAACGCTGTTCCAGCAGGAGGCAAGCACTGGGGGTGCCCAGGGGAGCGGGGCACTCTGCCTGGCTGCAATCGGAGCTCTAGGAACAGGAGATCCTACAGGGTGGCTCCTAAGGATACAAATTAACAAATTCTCAAGGGCTGACTTTTTTCTTTACTATTTCCTTTGTTCTCTTTCCAAAAAATAATTTTAAGGCATTTTTACTGTGGACATTTTAGAACATACACAACAGTAGAGAGACAAGGGCGAAGAATACACACGCGGCCTTCCCTGGCTTTGACGAACACTGGCCTACGTGCAGGCGGGTGTGCTGTGCTCTTCCGCTGATGCCGTTAACAGCAAATCCCACTGTCCTGGGGGTTCGTCCAGAAGTGCTTCAGGATGCACCTCTAAGAGGTAATTTTTAAATAACCGCAACAGCATTGTCCCAGCTCAAATAAAATTAACAATGAATCCTTAGTATTTATGCTGAGTCAGTGTTCATACTTCCCAGGTTGTTTTCTACAAGTTTTTTTTAAAATCGGCTGGTTTGAATCAGGAATCAAACAAGTCTATAAAGTGATTTTTCAAAATAACAGCTTTAGTGAGATACAAACCATATACCAGACAATTCACCCCTGTGAATGCACAGCCCAGGAGTTTTCAGTCTATTCACAAGAGCTGTGCAACCATCACCATCATCTGATTCCAGACCATCTCCCCCACAAAACCCCACAGCCATAGTGGTCACTCCTCATCCCTTCCACCCCTCAGACCTTGGAGACCGCTAGTCCTCTTCTTGTCTCTGCGGATCTGTCTGTTCCGGAGCCACACAGCATGTGTTCGTGTGCCTGTCTGGCTGGCCTCTTTCACTTAGCTAAGTTTTCAAGGTTCACCGTGTGGCAGCATGTCTCAGTACTTCATTTCCTTTTATTGCCAAATAATATCTTGCTACATGGTTAGACCACAGCTTATTTATCCCTTCATCCACGAACAGACATTTGGTTGTTTCTTTCTTTTCACTATGGTAAACAATGCTGCTGCACACATTTGTGCACAAGGTTTTGTGTGGACATGCTTTCACTTCTCCTGGGTGGGTACCTAGGAGTGGAATTGCTGGATCATATGGTAACTCTATGTTTAACATTTTGAGGAACTGCCAGACTGTGGTTGAGACACTTTACATTACTACCCGTGATCCGTGGAGGTCCTCATTTCTCTACGTCCTTTCCAAAGCTCGTTGTTGTCTGTCTTTCTTATCACAGCCATCCCTGTGGGTGTGAAGCACTGTCTCACTGTAGTTTTGACTCACATTTCCCTAATGACTGATTATATGAAACATCTTTTCACGTGTTTATGGCCATTTCTATTATACAGTGACTTTAATGATGTATTTCAATTTTCAGACTAAGGAGTTGGTATCTGAGCAATCTTGAAAAGTGATGTCCCCCCTCCCCTGCCAAGATGGAGGCATAAGCAGAAATGCTTCAGTTCCTCGCACAACCAAAAGAAGGATAACCGACTTAAAAGAAAAGAACAACCAGAACTGCCAGAAAATCATTTGCACGGAAGTCCAACAACCAAGGAGTTAAAAAGACATTCATCCAGACAGGTAGGAGGGTGCAGAGATGGGCAGCTGGGGTGGAGAGGACCTGCAGCCAGGCAAGGTGGCAGACCCAGTGGGCGACCCCACATTCGTGTGCAGACAAGCAGGGAGGAACAACAGGGGAGCACGACAGACTGCAAAACCCAGGGTTTCAGCATGGGAAGCTAAAGATTCAAAACCCCTGGCTATAAAAAATCTGTGGGAGTTGTGGCGGTGGCAGAAACTCCCAGGCTCACAGGAGAGTTCACGATCCACTTGTGGGTAGTCGGGGAAGCAGCAGAAAGTGGGAGGAGAGCAGAGCAAGCGGCATTGTTCCCTCTCTGACTACCCCCTGCCCCACATACAGCACCACAAGCAGCAAAGAGGGTTGCCCTGCTCTGGCAAATACCTAAGGCCCCACCCCTTCCTAAGTAACAGGCCCACTGAGATAAAGTAATATGGCCCAAATGAAAGAACAGATCAAAGCTCTAGAAAAAGAACTAAGTGACGAGGAGATACCTAACCTATCTGATGCAGAGTTCAAAACACTGGTAATCAGAATGCTCACAGAATTCATTGAGTTCAGTCACAAAATGAAGGAAGAAATGAAGAATGAAGGCTACCCAAAGTAAAACAAAGGAAATATACAGGGAACCAACAGTGAAGGGAAGGAACCTGGACTCAAACAACAATTTGGAACAAAAGGAAGAAACAAGCATCCAACCTGAACAG